TCGTTGATTCCTAACTTATTCTGCTCGAAAACAGTACTATTCTACAACGTTAAGCTTCATTTCAAATAAGTAAGCCGGTTTATTGGCCTTCCTATATAATGCCCCATGGGTCTACAACAGTCGGAGGGGAAAGCTGTTCTGCCTGCGATCCAGCTCACTCCCGCTCACACGCTCTATCATTTGCAGGAATTATGACAGTATGTCCTTGGTGCAGGGATTATGACAGTATGTCCGGTGATTTCTGCGCAGCTGCTACCGATCACATGTATTTTGTGGAGAGTCCCCTTCAATGCAGAGATACCGACTACATATATTGCACCGAAATAGGAAGAAATAACACATGCCCCTCTGAGGAAACATGAATTTGCACAAGAAACCAATACTCACAATAAAGCAGCACAAATAAGTGCTTTTCGCAGAAAAGGCCCCATTGCGAAAATTTGTGTGAAGCTGTTCATCTGTGAACTGAATTCAGGGCCTCTATAGAGGACATAGTCGATTAAGTCGTCTATATTAATCAGGTCATCTGAAAATGTTGAAATTTTGAATTAGTCAGTTTGAATTACTTTGGTATCCCATCGCATGGATCGCGCGATCAAACGCTTGGGCGACCGCATCGCGAAGTATGGGTGAGGGAAGAAAACTTCTAGAGGAAAGATTCCCGCGCTGACCCAAAGTGACCTGGATATTCGATAGAACATGATACTCCAAATTCTTTTCAAAAGGCTGAATGATTCAAAATGTTCCAGAAGAAACTGGGGCGCAATATCAGATGAGTTGAGGTCCAATACAATAGGACTTCATCTTCGATTTCAGGATACCTGCGTACCTACCTTCAGGCACCCACTTCACCAATTGATCATGAAGAATTTCCGCTTCGGCATTGAGAAGCGTATTCAGAATACTAGGCGGAGCTAACCTGAAAAATCAAAATTGCTGTGCTCTTCAATCCGGGAATCGTGGTGGAAAATCCTCAAATAGGTAGCCTTTGAAAAAACCAGGAACATACCAAATGTGCAGCGAACAAGTGATCAGAATAACAACTGCCACCATAGCATGTGTAAAGAAAAGAGAATGTGTAAAGAACCTAATGAATATGAGTAACCACAAGTTGGATATTACTCCCTAAACAAAGTTATGCGTAATGTTCTGAGAATCAACGTTTTCTAGACGCATCCTTCCACATGAGGTAGTGTAGTGACAAGCGGCACGTCTACCAGGCTCACGGTTCGGGGATCAAATCCCGGATCGGACACGCGTTCACGCCAAATTCGCCTTCTACTCCCACAGCACGGTAGGCTGGCATCAGAAGGGGAAGATAATGACCCTGAATTGTGCATCTACTGACCCCCGCAAGTCACTGGGCCTCATATTTCGATTATTTTACGTCCGCGCTCCTCTTTTGTTTTCGAACTAACTACTGGAAATTTCACGCTCAAAGGGATTTCGCAAGACTCATTTTGGTGTGAACTCATGTGAAGCAACGGAATGGTGCAAGTGAGCCACTTTGGTGACAGGATTTACTGCTCCTTAGAAGGTGGCCTGTAAAAGCATATTGTTACCTGGGTACCATACGCAGCCCGCGCCAAGCCAATAATGCGCCAAAATTTCTTTCAAGCAGGCGAATTTTAAAGGACTGTCTGCTGAATTTTTAGAATTATTGAGATGTAGTGGACAGTCGACATTGTGGAAAGCGGATCTGGGGGGAGGGGTAATGATCAGCGCACCAAACTCCAAGTTCGACCTGCTGTCGAGTCTTTTGCCTCAACTCAGCAATGTTGCGACAAAAATCAAGAAAGCGTTTTATCGCAAAAGTAATGCACATTAACTTACTGCACCAAACATAATCGCTAAAGCGACGACTCTGAGATGTTGCGGAAGGCTTTCCATGCAGTGCATCATTATCGGTATACGGATCATCTTAAAATGGTGTTGAGGGAACAGTTCTCATTTATCATATGGGAGGAGTTAGGCAGCGTTCAGAGTTCGCGAGCGCGTCGGCGCGCTGTAGCGGCAACGCGGTATAGCTGCAACGGCGCTCCAATCCTATAACGCGAACGGACCCGCAGGCAGGAATCAATCGGAGCCGCCCCAGCGTACGCGGCACCAGTGTCGATTGATACCAACTGCGCGTGTGAACTCGTACCTTCAATTCCTCATCAAAATGCAAGCGGCGCCAATCTGTTTCAGTCTGCGGCTGCGTTCGCGCCTATAGGAATGAACGCTATTTCAGCAGCGCGTCATAGCGCTTTCCAGCGCGTCGTCGCGCGTCACCGCGAAGTATGAATGCTATCTAAAATCAATACTCATTCTTCTGCGCTCAACTTCTTCATTTTCGCTTTCGCTACAAATTGTTGCTAAAAACATAACTTTGGTGGAACTGACCCTGACGGAAACTCCGGACAGGAAGAGTGACGCCCTTGCGAAAGTTTTGCTTCTCGTGTAGTGTACTCCTGGACAGAAGATATACAAAAACACCGCTATGGCCAACTGTGATGAAGTGCTTAGCCTAAATCAAATAGTACTTTGTAGGTTTGAACTTAACAGAGAGAATGTCAGTGCTCAATCATCAGCTCACTTGTACAGCGCTATGAGAAGAAGGAGGCCAAACATTTCACCGCCCTCAGCGAAGAGAGCGTATTCGTACCCAGTAAAAGTGGATTTAGAGTCGCCATATTCCTGAAAATAATTTCTCCCAAAAAAGGGTAGCCAGATTCTAACCTGATGTGGGGTGTATTTCCGAGGGATATTTCCATTTGAAACAACTGTCACCCTGTATTGTTCTAGTGAAAGCCATAGCTACAAGTGTCACAAAAATGGCAATTCCCCACAAAAAGCGCAGTCGCCGCGTGAAGTGTGCAGTCACACCCCCACCCCCTCTATCCTAGGATATGGAATGTAAGAGCAAGGTACAGACTCGCTCTAGAAATAATGTGGCGTTTGTATCAATCACAGTGTAGAAGAACCCATCACAATCGTGAAATCTGAAAGAACAGAAATAAACAAAAATAATAAACATAAATAAATAAAATCAATAAAATACACAAATAAACAAAATATAAATAAATAAACAAATTGGTTCCAGTACTCGAACGCTTTCCTTTCCCATGACAGAGATTTCACAAAAGAATAATGAAGTTGCCCCGAGGAGAATACTAGCGTGTTGAGCGCTATTACGCGTCCGTACAATTCATTCCAGCGACCTAAAATTACTTGTTGGTTATTTGGGCCCCGTTACTGAGAAGTTCTGGTAATTTTCTCAGAGCAGAGGTGATTGGGCTACGTTCATACTTTGCGGCAGCGTTCACCAGCGTTCCGAGCTTCGAGCAGTGTCAGCGACTAGGAATGGGAGGTATCGATCCAACAACGCCAGCGTCCACCTGCGTCTACCAGCGTCCACAAGCGTCCG